ATGACTTACAGACTACTTATAAACGACTTAACACAATTAATGACTTACAGACTACTTAATGTTCTTACAGACTACTTATGATTACAGACTACTTTAATGACTTACAAGACTACTTAATGGACTTACCACTACTTTTGACTTACACACACTTAAGACTTACAGACTACTTAATGACTTACAGGGACTACTTAATGACTTAAGACTACTTATGCTTTACAGATACTTTATGGCTATAAAATCTGATCATAGTTTATGTTGGATGTGTATGATGATTATTATGTAACTTACTTGCTAGCATACTCCCCCCTACTTAATACTTACAATTATTACCTACTAATACTTACCTACTTACCTATTTTACTAATACTTACCTACTTACTACTTACTAATTATTACTTACCTATTACGTACTTATATCTTACATACTAATTACTACGTTACTTACGTACTTTCCTACTTACTTACCTATTATGTACTTACTACTTACGTACTTACTACTTCTTATACTTACTTACATATTACCACTACTACCTACTTACCTATTATCTACTTACTTACCTTATTTGTACTTACCTAATTACCTACTTAGTACTTACCTACTTAGTACTTACCTACTTCCGTTACTCACCGACCTACTTATTTACCTACTTACTTACTACTTACATAGTACTCACCTACCTACTTACCTACTTACGTACTTACCTACTACTCTTCCCTACTTTACCTAATTACTTACCTATTATGTACTCACCCTACTACTTTCTTACCTACTTACGTACTCATACCTATTACTACTACTTACGTACTTCACCTACCTACTTACTTTACCTATTATCTAAAACAATTCCATCTTGATGGTATTACAGGATAGGTAACTTCACTGCCATCTAGTGGGAAGAAATGTACCTTACTATAAGTTACCGTTCGTATATAGTTAAGTTAGTGAGTTAGTGTAGCGTTCTCAGTCAAAAAAAGTAGTCAGTAGGACCATTAGTAGGCCGATGGATGTTAGGGTTGAGCTTAACAGCTCTGGGTCGTCTGCTACTAGATATACTGATCCATGATTAAGTTTAGTTAGCCACAAGTACAGTCACATAATTAGTTATCTTATATAGCTGTAAATTACCTTCAACCATAACAAAAATTATATTAATTGTGTTGTTGGGGTGTGAATTTCCTGGGGTCCGTGAAAATTCCCAGGAGTCCTGTGAATTATCATGGGGTCCTTTGAATTTCATGGGGTTCCGGAAATTTCCACGGGTCCGTGAATTTCCACTGGGGTCCGTGAATTTTCACTGGGGTCCGTGACATTTCCATGGGGTCCGTGAATTGCCATGGGGTCGTGGATTTTTCATGGGGTCCGTGAATTTTCACTGGGGTCCGTTAATTCACGGGTCCGTGAATTTCCACTGGGGTCCGTGAATTTTCACTGGGGTCCGTGAATTTTAACGGGCCGTGAATTTTCCTGGGGTCGTGAATTTTCATGGGGTCCGTGAATTTCCTCTGGTACGTGAATTTTACTGGGGTTCTGTGAATTCGTGGGGGAGTCGTGAATTTCACTGGGGTTCGTGAAATTTTCACTGGGTTCCAGAATTTCCATGGGGTCCGTTGCAATTTCATGGGGTCCGTGAATGTCCATGGGGTCCCACGTGAATTTTACATGGGGTCCGTGCAATTTATGGCGCGCGCCCTCCATGAATTCACTGGGGTCGTGACTGACCATGGGAGTCCGTGAATTTAACTGGGGTCCATGAATTGCCACTGGGGTCCATGAATTTCCACTGGGGTCCGTGAATGACCACTGGGGTCCGTGAATTTCCACTGGGGTCCGTGAATGACCATGGGTGTGAATGAATTTCACTGGGGTCCATGAATTTCCACTGGGGTCCAGGAATTTCCCACTGGGGGGTCCTGAATTTCCACTGGGGTCGTTGACTTTCACTGGGGTCCGTGAATTTCCACTGGGGTCCGTGAATTTTCACTGGGGTCCGTGAATTTCCACTGGGGTCCGTGAATTTCCACTGGAGTCCGTGAAATTTCACTGGGGTCCATGAATTTCCAGTGGGGGTCCGTGAATTTCACGGGGTCGTGAATTTCATGGGGTCCGTGAATGCACTGGGTCGTGAATTTCCCACTGGGGTACGTGAAGACACTGGGGTCTTGTAATGGTTGTAATATTTATTTCTTTATCCAGTACGAGCGCCTGAGTTATCTACACGGGGGGGCCAGGACTATAGGAGGGACCAGGAGCTATGACCCGATTCTACAAACCAAACAATTATAGGTGTGTATTTTACCCCAGGTGGGTATTTTACCCCAGGTGGGTATTTTTTACCCCAGGTGGCGTTTTTTAGTTTACCCTGGTGGGTATTTTACCCAGGGTGGGATGTTTACCCCCAGGTGGGTTTTTACCCCGGTGGGCATTTTACCCAGGAGGGTATTATACCCCGGTGGGTATTTTACCCCAGGCTGGTATTGTACCCCAGGGTTCTGTTCCCAGGGACGAAAGCTACTAGGCTGGATGCTTAGTAGTAGTTCGTAAACATTTGTCTAACATCTCTTGTGGCAAGAAAGTTTTGCAGTGTTAGAGTGCATAAATTGGCTGGTTTTAATTTGTATATTCCAGAACACTCAAAGGGTCACCAACGGGCCAAGGGGCATTGACCCTGGCAACTGTCTCCATGTAACTTTGATCTGTATATCTACCATCTACACTATATCCTCTTTATAATTATCGTATTATATCCTAATATCCTTTGATCAATACATATCCATCGATCCTATATCTATCGATCTATATCTGTCGATTAATAGCTGTCGATCTAATATCCTATTGATCCTACTATCCTATCCAATCCTACTGTCTTATTGACCTAATATACTATTGATCGTATGTATCCTATCGATCTAATATCCTAATGATCCTAATATCTATCAATTCTATTTATCCTATTGATCCTAATGTGTATTGATTTTTCCTATATATCCTAAGTGTTATCCTAGTGATCCTAATATCATATTGATCTATATATCCTATCGGTTCTATAAATCCTATTACTAATATTTATTGACCTATATCATCTATTGATCCTGTATATTCTTCTGTAGTCTATCTGTATTCTATCTATATTCTATAATCTATTTTATATCGAATTATATCTATTTGCTCTTATATCATTCTATGGATTCCCTCTTTATCATATCCATATTACCTCTTCTGTCTTCCTATCTATATTTCCCTTTGTCTGACCAGAGAGTATACTATTGGACGTATTAAAGTATTTTTGATGGTGTCCCGTGAACGTGAACCATTAACCTTGCAACTTTAAACCCATTAAACCAATAAGGTATTGCTTTATTATGGCCCATATTGTTTTCCATGTGAACTAAATCCTTCAAGGGTGGAGCTTTGATTGTAAGGATCTTGAATCAGGGAGTTGGGGTTATCTCACTTCATGGATGAAAATCTGCTTTGTGCTATTTTTAGCGTAAGTTCCCTGTGGACTGGACCTTTAGGTCCTTGTGAAGGACATTTCAAGGTCTTTGTGAAGGGCTTTTTCAAGGTCCTTGTGGACAGGCTTTTGAAAGGTCCTTGTGACAGGGCTTTGATGGTCTTGCGGACGGGCTTTTGATGGTCCTTGTGACAGGGCTTTTGAAGGGTACTTGTGCCAGGGTTTTGAAGGTCTTGTGACAGGGGCTTTTGAAGGTCTTGTGACGGGCTTGTGACGGTCCTTGTGACAGGGTTTTAAGGTAGGTGTGCTTGTGAGTCCCTAGTGGGACTAGTCCCAACTTGCACACACAAATCACTCCCTTATGAATGCGAAAAGACTGGCAGGAGATGCAAAATTCTCCAATGAAAAGCAGGGGGGTGCCAGAGTATGAAGAGACAACCAATAAGGTGTCTGGGGCCCAAGACTGTTCAGCTGCCTCCCCAGCATACATAAGGTGGATTACAATTACACCATGATGTCTGCATGAACGCAGTTGTACAGTCGCCTAAAGTCAGTACCTGACAGCTGGGCTGTGGTTCATACGTTGGTTTACGGTGCAGCCGCAGTAACAGCTGGTTGATAGGTCCTTATCTCACCAGGCTGGTCTGGACGGGACTGCAGGGCGGTTGGCCCAAAGAACACCCTCCAGGGTAAGTTACAGTGACAAGGCCCTTCAATCGGTAGGTTCTAGCTGGAATAAGGGGTCTTGATCAGGCAGTAAACTTGACTCTAGTTTCTTGATCGAACTTGCTGCTAGCAGTTATTTCTCCAGGTGCTATATGACCCATATGGGTTTAACCCTTAAACTGTCCAACCAGATCTACATTCACATGCGCAATGCTCCAAAAGTAGATCTACGTTTTTTTTACATATTTTCAAATACAGTGGACCCCCGCATAACGATCACCTCCCAATGCGACCAATTATGTAAGTGTATTTATGTAAGTGCGTTTGTACGTGTATGTTTGGGGGTCTGAAATGGACTAATCTACTTCACAATATTCCTTATGGGAACAAATTCGGTCAGTACTGGCACCTGAACATACTTCTGGAATGAAAAAATATCGTTAACCGAGGGTCCACTGTATATAAAAAAAAAATGTAGATCAAAGTTTTTTACACGTTTTCATAAGCAAAAAACAGAAGAAGATCTACGTTTTTTTACATACTTTCAAATGTTGAAAAAACGTAGATCTACGTTTGGACAATTTAAGGGTTAAGAATCTTCCCATGACCTTTCAAGGGGGGGAGGAACTGCTTTGCTGCTTAAAGGCTCTTGATCCACTGAATTGAAGGTGCTCTACTTAAACAAGTTTGCCACCCATTCCTCAGGAGCTGTAAAACCCATTAGAGTTTAGTGCTTCACCATTGATGTAAGGGATAATACCAAATTGTTCATATTTTATATGTAATACAGGTAGTGTATGCCCCTATGGGTTTAACTCTTCTTCATGATTATAATGCAGATACTGTTTGTCATTATACATATGGATGGTAATTTATTGTTTTATTTTAGGCATGGTGAGTGTGGTGTAATTACTGCTGTGGAGGGTGGGGGGTCGAGCCACCTGACCTCTCGGTATTCAGGATATGAAGGTAGGTAATGGAAATAAGTCACTCTGATTTTTTTTTTGTTACCCTATATATACATATGATAATTGTACTTGTATGTACCTGTGCCTAAATAAACTTGATGAATACAGCAAGTCATCTCGACTTATGAACACATTGAGAATCATCTGTATTGTGTATTTGTACATCATTATTACATTATTATACACGATACAGAAGGTCCCCAGTGTGTTCGTAAGTCGAGGACTTACTGTATTAGAATATTCACTTACATCATGCCAATGGAAATAAGTCACTGACTTTTTTGGATTATCCTGGGTGACCTACAAACATGCTGCTATGTATGACAATTTATGTAACTGTATTTATGTGAAGAGTTTTTACGAGGATAGTGAGGCTCAGGTTAGAGTATGTAGGAGAGAGGGAGATTATTTCCCAGTAAAAGTAGGCCTTAGACAAGGATGTGTGATGTCACCGTGGTTGTTTAACATATTTATAGATGGGGTTGTAAGAGAAGTAAATGCGAGGGTCTTGGCAAGAGGCGTGGAGTTAAAAGATAAAGAATCACACATAAAGTGGGAGTTGTCACAGTTGCTCTTTGCTGATGACACTGTGCTCTTGGGAGATTCTGAAGAGAAGTTGCAGAGATTGGTGGATGAATTTGGTAGGGTGTGCAAAAGAAGAAAATTAAAAGTGAATACAGGAAAGAGTAAGGTTATGAGGATAACAAAAATATTAGGTGATGAAAGATTGGATATCAGATTGGAGGGAGAGAGTATGGAGGAGGTGAATGTATTCAGATATTTGGGAGTGGATGTGTCAGCAGATGGGTCTATGAAAGATGAGGTGAATCATAGAATTGATGAGGGGAAACGGGTGAGTGGTGCACTTAGGAGTCTGTGGAGACAAAGAACTTTGTCCTTGGAGGCAAAGAGGGGAATGTATGAGAGTATAGTATTACCAACGCTCTTATATGGGTGTGAAGCATGGGTGATGAATGTTGCAGCGAGGAGAAGGCTGGAGGCAGTGGAGATGTCATGTCTGAGGGGAATGTGTAGTGTGAATATAATGCAGAAAATTCGCAGTTTGGAAGTTAGGAGGAGGTGCGGGATTACCAAAACTGATGTCCAGAGGGCTGAGGAAGGGTTGTTGAGGTGGTTCGGACATGTAGAGAGAATGGAGCGAAACAGAGTGACTTCAAGAGTGTATCAGTCTGTAGTGGAAGGAAGGCTGGGTAGGGGTCGGCCTAGGAAAGGTTGGAGGGAGGGGGTAAAGGAGGTTTTGTGTGCGAGGGGCTTGGACTTCCAGCAGGCATGCGTGAGCGTGTTTGATAGGAGTGAATGGAGACAAATGGTTTTTAATACTTGACGTGCTGTTGGAGTGTGAGCAAAGTAACATTTATGAAGGGGTTCAGGGAAACCGGCAGGCCGGACTTGAGTCCTGGAGATGGGAAGTACAGTGCCTGCACTCTGAAGGACGGGTGTTAATGTTGCAGTTTAAAAACTGTAGTGTAAAGCACCCTTCTGGCAAGACAGTGATGGAGTGAATGATGGTGAAAGTTTTTCTTTTTCGGGCCACCCTGCCTTGGTGGGAATCAGCCAGTGTGATAATAAATAAAAAAAAATGTACCTGAATAAACATACTCAACACCAGCACAAAAGGATAAGGAAGATCCATGTCTAATAGTTAATTAGCCTCGTCCAAAGCGTTTTGCCGACACAGCAAACTTCTTCAGTCAAATACAGAGGTGACGAAATATGGAAGCGGCAACAGCAGAGAGATGTGATCATTCCATCACCTTTAGTTTTGGAGTTGTCAGTAATAGGGTAGATAATAGGTATGTATATGAAATAACCACATGGGGAGTTGAATGATAGCTCTAGGCCTTTTGTGTGTGGTAATCAACACATCAGGAGCTTGCAGTGTAGGAAATCAAGGCAGATTCATTCAGGGAAATGACTCTCCAGAATGGAGAGTTTTCACTCAATTTCATATTCCATTTCTGCAATATTTCAAACTCCTGATTTGTTGATTGAAACATAAAAGGCCTCTCATTCAAATACTCCTGTGGTTATTTTGCATCTTTTATCGTTCGTTTGCAATTATTGCGTAACAGGTATGTATATGTCACTGGGTTGATGTCTTGATATAACAGTGAAGAAACAGGTGTAGAGAACGGAATAAGGGAATGAGGATGTAGATTAAACAGTCGGGTGTACAGGATGAATAGTGGCAGTGGGTACAAGGAAACTGCCGAAGGCTTGCACTGGTGCTGAGATCAAACCCAGGTGCTTCAGTTGTGAGCCAGAGGTTCCACCACTTGAATCATATGTTGGGACTGGTAGCATTTCTACCTTATTGCTTAACTGCTAGGTAAATGTTGAGGTAGAAATTCTAGTATGTTCAAAACTTGGCTGTCTATATTTTAAAGTTGTTTTGCCAACCAGTGGCTTTTTCAATTCATTAATAAATATTAGAATTATTAATTTCTGAAAGTACATGATACAACTTATACAGACCATAGCTGACACGAGTAACATACTATATAGAAAGTCCCTAGTTACGCAGAACATTTCTCGCAACTTGGGTTTTGTTCCCAGGATGGAACTCGCACCAGTTGACAAACACCCAGGTACCTATTTTACTGCTAGGTGAACAGTGGCAACAGGTGTTTTATGAAAACAAAGTCCTAATGTTTCCACCTGTACTGGGGATCGAACTACAGACCTCAGTGTGTGAGCTGAGTGCTCTACCAACCCAGCTATGGGACATGAGATACATGGAAGGGGTGAGAGGAGAGACGAGCTAAGATAATTTTAATTGTGAATTGGAACGGGTTAGTGCCCCTTTTCCCTTCTCTTCCCTAGCAAAACACTTAAAAGAGTGACCAAGATTGACAAGATTTCGCTGTTAGCTAACTGGTGTGGGTTGCATCTTGGGACAAAACTGACCTAATTTGACTGAGATGCTCTACATAACCAGGGACTTTCTATATAGTATGGCAATGATGTCAACTATGGTCTGTATAATTTGTATCATGTACTAGTAGAAATTGATTATTATGATGTTCAAATGATCATTTTATACAATAGGTATTAGTGCTGTAATAGGTATCAATAGCACACTTTAGCTGAAACAAAAGGTATATACAGTACAAACACTTGCACATTATATTTGAAAAGTTTTGTTCCTGGATGTTGGTCGTTCCAGTGGAAATAAGTCGCTTTGACTTCGGTGTACTTGTCCCTAAATAAACTCGTTAAACATTCCCAGTAAAATGTACTAGTGTTTTGTCTTATTTCTAACTACTTGTCAGTAGCACCTTTATTTACCTAGTACACTGTTAATGTTGAGGTTTTTTGCCTAGTACACTTATTTTTTTAGCTAGCACACTAGTGTTTATAGAGCAGTTTTTAGATAGCTCACTGGTGTTTAGAGATTAGTTTTTTTACTAGCACACTAGTGTTAATAGACAGTTTTATACTAACACACTGTAGTGACCTACACATTGTACCCCATGTCACTACTACTACTACTAATTTATTGTGAAATTTTGCAGAAAGTAAATGGTATACTCCAAGTGCAGGAATATCTTGTGGGAGTCCTGGTCTGTCTACATACCTGTATAAAACAAGGCAAGTACATCTAAGTCATTTACCGAGCTATAATTGATTGATCTTTAACTTAAATTTGTTGAATGAAATTTCACTTGCAAGAACGTAGGGATGGGATACTGCATAAGGCTAGTGGTCCATGGCAGGCAGGCCCATGCTAGGCAGGTACATTCAGCTCACTGCCCCACACACTACATTAACCAAAATTATCATAACTTAGATAAATAATTTTTTCAAAAGGTTAATTGAGGCGTAAATAAAAGCATCCGAAAAGGTTAAATGACCAATACAAAAATGTCTTCTTAGTTCATTACAACAGTGGTGGAGCTGAAGTGAAAGATGTGTGATGATGATGGTGTTTGTGGCTAGTTGCGATATGTACATGGCAATTTTTACCACCCTCTTTCATAATTCCTCGTTACTATCTTTTTCTCTACCAAAATTTGATACATCAGTGTACTGCTACTTTATTGTGTGATGATTACATTGTGGGAACACCAGCATTGTGTTGCTATGCTATTCTATATGATAGTTATATTGTAGGAACACCAGCATCTATATGATAGTTATATTGTAGGAACACCAGCAGTGTGTTGCTACACTATAGTTATGTGATGGAACAAAAGCTGTTTTTCTTGATATATTCCATCACATGTGATGGGTTTCACACACACTGCTGAAATGCTGCAGCCAGAGTTGAGAGGCCTGAACCTTTTGAATCAATAACACTCTGAATTATCTACATAATATTCACACCTTATACTGCTCTCAAGCACAACATCAATGCTGTCTCCAGCCTCCTCTGTGCAATGTTTTAAAACCCATGCTTTGGACCCTTTTAAGTATTTGTACCACTATTCTCTGGTACATTTTTCTTTGCCTTCATGGATAACTTTTGTCTCAGATGCCCCACCAACCTTATTCCCCCCTCATCAGTTCTGTGGTTCTCATCTTTCATAGTCCCATCTGCAGACAAATCCGCTCGCAAATCATCATCTTACAAGCATACATATATATACACACACACCTCTGGGTTTTCTTCTATTTTCTTTCTAGTTCTTGTTCATTTCCTCTTACCTCCATGGGAAAGTGGAACAGAATTCTTCCTCCATAAGCCATGTGTATCATAAGAGATGATTAATATGCCGGGAGCATGGGGCTAGTAACCCCTTCTGTATACATTACTGAAGTTAATAAAAGAATACAACAGTTTAGAAGCATATACCTATAAAAATACACAATGTATCCCTCCAAACTGCCAATATCCCAAACCCCTCCTTTAGAGTGCAGGCATTGTACTTCCCATTTCCAGGACTCAAGTCCGGCTATATAAAATAACCGGTTTCCCTGAATCCCTTCACTAAATATTACCCTGCTTACACTACAACAGCTCGTCAGGTCCCAAATACCATTCGTCTCCAGCCACTCCTATCTAACATGCTCACGCACACTTGCTGGAAGTCCAAGCCCCTTGCCCACAAAACCTCCTTTACCCCCCTCCCTCCAACCTTTTTGAGGACGACCCCTACCCCACCTTCCTTTCCCTACAGATTTATACACTTTCCATGTCATTCTACTTTGATCCATTCTCTCTAAATGACCAAAACACCTCAACAAACCCTCTTCAGCCCTCTGATTAATACTTTTATTAACTCCACACCTTCTTCTAATTTTCACACTCCGAATTTTCTGCATAATATTTACACCACACATTGCCCTTAGACAGGACATCTCCACAGCCTCCAACCACCTCCTCACTGCAGCATTTACAACCCAAGCTTCACAACCATATAAGATTGTTGGTACTACTATACTTTGATACATTTCCTTCTTTGCCTCCATAATGTTTTTTGTCTCCACATATACCTCAATGCACCACTCACCTTTTTTCCCTCATCAATTCTATGATTAATCTCATCCTTCATAAATCCATCTGCTGACACGTCAACTCCCAAGTATCTGAAAACATTCACTTCTTCCATACTCCTCCTCCCCAATTTGATATCCAATTTTTCTTTATCTAAATCATTTGATACCCTCATCACCTTACTCTTTTCTATGTTCACTTTCAACTTTCTACCTTTACACACATTCTCAAACTCATCCACTAACCTTTGCAGTTTTTCTATAGAATCTCCCATAAGCACAGTATCATCAGCAAAAAGTAACTGTGTCAGTTCCCATTTTGAATTTGATTCCCCATAATTTAATCCCACCCCTCTCCCGAACACCCTAGCATTTACTTCTTTTACAACCCCATCTATAAATATATTAAACAACCATGGTGACATTACACATCCCTGTCTAAGACCTACTTTTACCGGGAAGTAGTCTCCCTCTCTTCTACACACCCAAACCTGAGCCTCACTATCCTCATAAAAGCTCTTTACAGCATTTAGTAACTTACCACCTATTCCATAAACTTGCAACATCTGCCACATTGCTCCTCTATCCACTATATCATATGCCTTTTCTAAATCCATAAATGTGATAAAAACTTCCCTACCTTTATCTAAATACTGTTCACATATATGCTTCAATGTAAACACTTGATCTACACATCCCCTACCCACTCTGAAGCCTCCTTGCTCATCCGCAATTCTACATTCTTTCTTACCTCTAATTCTTTCAATTATAACTCTACCGTATACTTTTCCTGGTATACTCGGTAAACTTATTCCTCTATAATTTTTACAATCTCTTTTGTCCCCTTTCCCTTTATATAAAGGGACTATACATGCTCTCCGCCAATCCCTAGGTACCTTCCCCTCTTTCATACATTTATTAAACAAAAGTACCAACCACTCCAACACTATATCCCCCCCTGCTTTTAACATTTCTGTCATGATCCCATCAGTTCCAGCTGCTTTACCCCCTTTCATTCTACGTAATGCCTCGCGTACCTCCACCACACTTACATTCTGCTCTTCTTCACTCCTAAAAGATGGTATACCTCCCTGGCCAGTGCATGAAATTACCACCTCCCTTTCTTCCTCAACATTTAAAAGTTCCTCAAAATATTCTCGCCATCTACCTAATACCTCCTCTCCCCATCTACTAACTCCCCTACTCTGTTTTTAACTGACAAATCCATACTTTCCCTAGGCTTTCTTAACTTGTTTAACTCACTCCAAAATTTTTTCTTATTTTCATTAAAATTTCTTGACAGTGCCTCTCCCACTCTTTCATCTGCTCTCCTTTTGCACTCTCTCACCACTCTTCACCTTTCTTTTACTCTCCATATACTCTGCTCTTCTTATAACACTTCTGCTTTGTAAAAACCTCTCGTAAGCTACCTTTTTCTCTTTTATCACACCCTTTACTTCATCATTCCAACAATTACTCCTCTTTCCTCCTGCCCCCACCCTCCTATAACCACAAACTTCTGCCCCACATTCTAATACTGCATTTTTAAAACTAATCCAACCCTCTTCAACCCCCCCACTACTCATCTTTGCACTAGCCCACCTTTCTGCCAATAGTCGCTTATATCTCGCCCGAACTTCCTCCTCCCTTAGTTTATACACTTTCACCTCCCTCTTACTTGTTGTTGCCACCTTCCTCTTTTCCCATCTACCTCTTACTCTAACTGTAGCTACAACTAAATAATGATCTGATATATCAGTTGCCCCTCTATAAACATGTACATCCTGGAGCCTACCCATCAACCTTTTATCCACCAATACATAATCTAACAAACTACTTTCATTACGTGCTACATCATACCTTGTATATTTATTTATCCTCTTTTTCATAAAATATGTATTACTTATTACCAAATTTCTTTCTACACATAGCTCAATTAAAGGCTCCCCATTTACATTTACCCCTGGCACCCCAAATTTACCTACTACTCCCTCCATAACATTTTTACCCACTTTAGCATTGAAATCCCCAACCACCATTACTCTCACACTTGATTCAAAACTCCCCACGCATTCACTCAACATTTCCTAGAATCTCTCTCTCTCCTCTACACTTCTCTCTTCTCCAGGTGCATACACGCTTACTATAACCCACTTTTCACATCCAATCTTTATTTTACTCCACATAATCCTTGAATTTATGCATTTGTAGTCCCTCTTTTCCTGCCATAGCTTCAACATTATTGCTACTCCTTCTTTAGCTCTAACTCTATTTGAAACCCCTGACCTAATCCCATTTATTCCGCTCCATTGAAACTCTCCCACCCCCTTCAGCTTTGTTTCACTTAAAGCCAGGACATCCAGCTTCTTCTCATTCATAACATCCACAATCATCTCTTTCTTATCATTTGCACAACATCCACGCACATTCAGACTTCCCACTTTGACAATTTTCTTCTTCTTATTCTTTTTAGTAATCTTTACAGGAAAAGGGGTTACTAGCCCATTGTTCCCAGCATTTTAGTAGACTTTTACAACACGCATGGCTTACGGACGAAAGATTCTTATTCCACTTCCCCATGGATATAAAAGGAAAAGTAATAAGACCAAGAACTATTAAGATAAAATTATATATATATATATATATATTATATATATATATATTATATATATATATATATATATATATTATATATATATATATATATATATATATATATATAATATATATTATATATATATATATTTATATATATATATATATATATAATATAATATATATATATATATATATAATATATTTTATATATATATATATAAAATATATATATATATATATATATATATATATATATATATATATATATATATATATATATATAATATACCACACACACACACATACATACATACATACACGTATTTGGACATGATAGTACATAGTTGTACAAAAGAAACAGTACAGTGGTTGAGTGTACATGCCGAAGCTCCCCTTCCATGTACGCAGAGCATTGTGGGCAGGGTTAAAAATAACTTTTAAGTAAGCAATGATATATATTGAGTGGTAAAAATACAGTATACAACATGAAGAATAAATAAGTATTTGAAATAGGAGGATTTATAGTTGTACAAATTTGTAGCACTTTTGATGAGTTAGTGAGCATTGATAGTTTGATAGGGTTATAAGATAGTTAATGAGTATTTATTGAGTTGTGGGTGAGTAAGTGGTTTTTAAGAAGAGTTTTGAATTGATAAGCACACAGACACTTAACTCTGATAAACTTAAGTTAACTGATTAACTTAACTCTGATATAAACCCTCCCCTCAAATGTCTTCTTACCAACCTCAACAGAACACATGACCATAACACAAGGCACAGATCACTCTTTGATGTTCCTCGTGTCCATCTCACGCTATGCAAAAACTTAGTGCACATAAAAGGCCCTAAAATCTGGAATTCATTACCTGTGAATATAAAAGAAACACTTTATAAATTCAAGTCTCTTCTCAAAAATCACTTACTCACCCACAACCAAATAAATACTGAATAATTGTATCTTATAAATTGTATATCTTAAATGTTTCTCATAATTGTATCACAGAAATATTTAACCTGAGACCCAATCAAACTTTGTTATTTTTTTAATTACATTATCTAACAGAATACTCCATTCTACTGATTGTACAGCAATGTATGCAACCATATGATCTGTCTTTGTAATACTCACTAGAGCATAATTGTTATCTGTTTACAATAATGTTTAGGAATGCTTAGTTAATCTTAAGTTAATTTTAAGCCTGCCCATAATGCTCTGCATACAAGGGGCTTTGGCATGCTGCACTTAATTGTATTCTTTTGTACTTTTCTATATCATGTTCAAATTAATAATAAATAAATAAATAAATTCACAGGTAATGAAATGCGGATTTTTGGGCCTCTTGTGTGTATTGCATTTGTACAGTGTGAGATGGACATGAGGAACATGAAAGAGTGATGTGCCTTGTGTTAAGGTTGGTAAGGAGGAGAAGTAGTAGTTTGAGGGTAGGGTTTATATTGGAGTTTTGTATGTAGGTACAATAATAAGTATGGATGTTTTGTATGGTGAGTAAGTTTTGGTGTCTGTAGTGGGAATTTGTTGTCATTGTGACTGGAACATTTTGTTGGGTAATTAACGGTCTGAGATGCTCTATTGTCGTTGAGCCTCGCGCACAAATTCCGTAGGCGAGATAAACGAGTGAGTGATACAGAGGGGTGACTGTATGTTGGATGGTATGCCTTTGAGATTTTCTTTGAAATGTGTTTGAAATTTGAGTCTATTTATCAAGGTGGATTTGTAAGAATTTTCCCTCTGTGAGCTTTGTGATGTTAAGAGGGACATGTGTGTTTCCAAACTGTATCAAGTAGGTTTTGTCAATATTTAGAGTAGATTTTCTGTAATTTGGTATTGGCTAGCACGACCGAAGAAAACAGTGTGGTTCTGAGTAGTTGCGATAGGTTGCTTATGTAAATGAAGAGGGCCAAGGACACTTTTGTGTGGGAAGAGTTTGCTTCATTTGTGTACACATTGTAGTTTGAGGGAATTGCCTCTTATACTATAGAGACAATTTCATGTTGAGCAACACCTGTATCAAAAGTAAATCAATGAATATAGTTTTTTCTGGAGTGCACTGTACAACTGTAATGACACTATTGCAAACAAACCAACCATTTTTCTGTATTTCACTGATATCTCCCACATCTGCAGAGTTTCCTGCATCGTTTTGTGCTTCTCCATGCTGTTCCCATTATTTTAATACTATAGAAGAGGCCAAAGAAGCTCCAGCAGTCAAAAGTGACATTCTACCAAGATATCATCATCAGTACTACCAACCCGCTATCTGGAAGTCGAAGCACACCTGTTGTACATTCCACAATGTACTGCACATGTGTGCTTTGTTGCACAATCTCTACAAATCAGAGTTAAGTAAACAGTGACTTGTATAGTATTTCCTAGTATCTTTGAATAATTTTCCTGATACTAAACTAACAAACATTTCCTCTGTTTATTAGTTACATTTTCAGGCTTTACAAATGAATTGTATTTTGATTTTTTATTCACATAATGAATTTTTATTCACGGCAAAAATAGATTACGTATTTACTTTTATGCAATGTTGTAATAATGTATTAAATAATAAGAACATAAGAAAGAAGGAACACTGCAGCAGGTCTACTGGCCCATGCCAGGCAGGTCCAAGTCTCCTACCGGCTTAAGCCAATGCCCCAACCTAGTCAGGTCGGGTCACATTCACCCAAGGAACATGGCAACTGACCTAGTAGTACAAGCTAATCAGGTCCAGCTCACACCCACCCGTGTATTCATCTAACGTATTTTTAAAATTACACAACTTTTTAGCCTCTATAACTGTACTTGGGAGTTTGTTCCACTCATCCACAACTCTATTACCAAACCAGTGCTTTCCTATATCCTTCCTGAATCTGAATTTATCCAACTTAAAACCATTGCTACGAGTCCCATCCAGGCTAGACACTTTGAGCACGTCATTTACATCCCCTTTATTTACTCCTGTCTTCCATTTGTACACCTCAATCATATCCCCCCCTGGTTCTATGCCTTTCTAAAGAGTGCAGATTCAGGGCCTCAGTCTATCCTCATAGGGAAGATTTCTGATCCATGGGATCAAGTTTGTCATCCTCCTCTGTATGTTTTCCAGAGCATTTATATGCATTCAGTCAATCAATCAATCAAGCGTATTCTCTATAAGGATTACAAAGCAGGGTTTATGGATTTTGGATATTGTGTGATTTACATGTTTTAAAATACTAATTACAGAGGGGGCCACTAGGACACCTAGCATGGCTAGGCATTTCGGCCAGACTTGGATTAATTCTTAACTTTAAATTATTACAGATTATGGTATTAAGGCTAAGTGACTACATTATAGTTTGTGAGTTTAGCAATGTGAATGCAGTGGACCCTCGACCAGCGATATTAATCTGTTCCTGAGAGCTCATCGTTAATCAAAATTATCGTTGGTCGAGTTAATTTTCCCCATAAGAAATAATGGAAATCAAATTAATCCGTGCAAGACACCCAAAAGTATTGAAAAAAAAAATTTTACCACATGAAATATTAATTTTAATACACACAAACTGAAGAAGACATGCACAGTTACATGACACTTACCTTTATTGAAGATCTGGTGATGATTGATGGGATGGGAGGAGGGGAGAGTGTTGATGGTGTTAGTGTTTAGAAGGGGAATCCCCTTCCATTAGGACTTGAGGTGGCAAGTCCTTTTTCGGGGTTACTTCCCTTGTTCTTTTAATGCCACTAGGACCAGCTTGAGAGTCACTGGATCTCTGTCGCACAACATATCTGTCCATAGAGGCCTGTACCTCCCGTTCCTTTATGACATTCCTAAAGTGTTGAACAACATTGTCAGTGTCACAATTAAAACACTTGTTCAGGTTTCAATTCTTCACTATGTACTCCTTGAATTCCTGCACATATTTTTTCAGCTGCTTTTTGGTCCAAACTGGCAGTCTCACCATGCCTTATCACACTATGTATGCCACTACGATTCTTAAATCTCTCAAACCAACCTTTGCTGGCTTTAAATTCGCTCACTCATCACTAGTTGCTGACATTTTTCTAATTAAAAATCCTCATGCAACTTCCTAGCCTTTTCACATATGATCGCTTGAGAGTTGCTATCTCCTGCTATCTGTTTTTCGTTTATCCACACCAATAACAGTCTCTCAACATCTTCTATCACTTGCGATCTCAGTTTCGAAAACATAGTTGCACCTTTGTCAAGAACAGCTTCCTTGATTGCCATTTTCTTGGCCACAATAGTAGCGATGATTGATTGGGGTTTTGTGTACAACCTGGCCATCTCGGAGACACGCACTCCACTTTCATACTTAGCAATGATCTCTTTCTTCATATCCATAGTAATTCTCACCCTTTTTGGTGTAGGGTTGGCACTAGAAGCTTTCTTGGGGCCCATGGTGACTTATTTTGCAGGTGCAATCACTAAAAAGGCTGTGATAATATGAAATGTTCCGATTGTATGCTTAGAAGCTACCGCGATGGCTGGCTGGCTTGTAAACACTGGCCAGAAGTGGACGTGTCTCAGACGGAACGAATAGTGTTGGTCGAGTTTTTTAGCGCTAGTCGAGGCAAAATTTTTGCGTTAAAATGTATCGCTAGTCGGATTTATCGTTAATCGATGCCATCGTTGGTCGAGGGTCCACTGTACTTTTGTTTTGGCACAATACATAGTGTCTATATTGGAGTATCACAGGCAAACTTATGACTAGTTAGGATTCCATACCATGGGCGGGACTTGAACCCGCGGTCAGAGAGTCGTGAAACTCCAGACTCTCTGACCGCGGGTTTAAGTCCCGCCCGTGGTATGGTTTGTTTGCAATCGTGTCATTACGATTTCGTGAGTCAGTTAGGATTCATTATTTTAAGATTAAGATTCGTATTTCTGTGTTTATAGTTAATGGGTGAGCGAGTGTAAGTGTGAACCACCAGGTGGTTTTCATGTAGTTAGTTGACGGGGTGTATCAGGGAGACAAGATGTTTTCTAACTGTAGTTTTGAAAGTGATGAATGTGTCTGCAGTTCTGGAGTTTTATTAATTTGGTGAGAACTGATGAATATTGTTTGAGAATATCTTTGTGTAATAAGCCCTGTCTATATTGCTTTTCATATTTGTGTTTCTTATCAATGGATTTCAGAATGCTGCTGGTTAGCCATGGGCAACCAAGCCATTTATTCGTGATGTGTTTCGTTTATATAGGACAATGTTTGTCGTATAGTCTAAGTATTTTGTTAAGTAAAATGTCTGTCCAGTCGTCAATACCATTGGCATTGGAGAATTCTGTAGGCCAGTCAACAGTCTCTAGGTCTGCTGTGAAATTCCTTCTTGAGGCCTCATCACGGAGTCTAAATGAAACTGTTGCATTCGAGTGGTGGCGGCGGCGGTGGCGGCTCACTAATGTTTGTTAAGAGGAAGGTTGGGTAGTGGTCTGTAGTGCTGTCTGTGATTATCCCTGATTTAAGGGGGGGGGCTAGTATATTGGTCCATATGTGGTCTATTATGGTTGCACTCATCTCAGTCAGCCTGGTTGGTTTAGTTATTGTCGGTACGAGAAGTGTGTTGTTCGTATTATTGACGAAATCAGTTACAGGCTGATCATCTGGTTGGCCAAGGTTGATATTGAAGTCTCCAGCTAAGAGAAGGCAGTGCTTGTTCATTTGTCTGTTTGTTACAAGTGCCTTTAGATTCTCACTGAAATTTGGGATGTTTGTGCAGGGTATCCGGTAAATGGCAATGATTGTTATAGGCGTCTTAAGGTTTTTTACAGGAAAATTAGCAAAAATGTATTCCCCGCATTCATTACTAAAGCAAGCGGTGCTAATACAAGATAGTTGGTTAGAGTAATAGATTGCAATACCACCCCCAACTTGGTATGGTCTGCAGTTGTGGATTGCTGTGTATCCTGGAGAGGAGTTAGATATCTATTGTGTCCTGCTTAAGCCAGGTCTCGGTAAGAATAATGCAGGAGAAAGGTGTCTTTAGTGACTCAAGGAGTGCCAGGAGGTCATCATAGTGTTTGCTTAAGGACCTGATGTTGTAGTTAAGAATTGATAGACTTTGAGCAGTGTTTAGGATAGTTCTGGCTTGTGATGCTGTGTAATAAAGGCAATTACTCTCCAATAAGTTTGGATTGTGCGTTAGATTACGGAGGTTTAGATCAGGGTCGACGCGATCGTTCATCTTTTAGGTTTAAATAGCGGTTATTTATATCCCGTATTGTGCGGCGAGTTCTAATACTGGTATCTGTAGTAGTGGGAAGTTTGGACAAGTATATAGCTAAAGCACTTTGGTCATATAGTGTATAGTCACAAATAAACATAATGAAGTTGATATTGTCTGTGTGTTGTGGTAGAATGAGCTAAAGTACAACTAGGTATAAACTAATATTATAAAAATACAAATTACAAATAGCACCAGACTCACTCTTGTAATTGCACTAAGGTCTAATATAATGAATTTGGTATTGTCTATGTATTGAGCTAGAATGAGCTAAAGTACAACCAGGTATAAACTAATAAAAATACAAATTAAAATGGTACAAGATTCTCACTTGCAATTGCACTAAGGTCTAATATAAGTTGTTAACAAGAACAAGAGTATAACTAGATTGAAATTGACAAGATAAAATGCACAAATTAATGTGCCAAAAGAATAAAAAAAAAATAAAAATGGCAACTTGTTTATAATATGATAGTAAGATGGTACAAAGGATAATACAGTGGACCCCCGGTTAACGATATTTTTTCACTCCAGAAGTATGTTCAGGTGCCAGTACTGACCGAATTTGTTCCCATAAGAAATATTGTGAAGTAGATTAGTCCATTTCAGACCCCCAAACATACACGTACAAATGCACTTAACATAGATACACTTACATAATTGGTAGCATTCGGAGGTAATCGTTATGTGGGGGTCCACTGTATAAAGGTTGGAGTTGAATATACAAACTTGAAAATTTGGCAACAAATGGTAAAGAAAAGTATAAAATAATGATTAATGTACAAAAGTAAAATTGACTGGTAGTAAATATGGTGTTTAATAAAATTTGAGTAAGTAATAAAGATTACAAAAAATATTAATAAAAATAAAAATAAATGTTTATTTTAAGTACTAAATTTTAAGAAGAGTTATTTGGACTCAATATTGGACTGGTAGTTATACTAGAGCTTAATTGGCAGTACAAGGTATTTAAGAGTAAGGAACTACTCTAAGATAGTAAATGTGGTATTAAAACAGGTTATTGTAATTAAACAAGTAATGGTAGTTAAAATAATGTCAAAAATGTTAAGAGTAAATTGTACTGATAGTAAAAATGGTATTTGATAATAAATTTGGTAAGTAATA